AGGAAAAAGTTTCAAATTCAGCATGTTATTATTTATCCCTGCTGATGTGCAGATCTTTAAGACATTCATTAAAGTGGGTCTTGAGCAGTGGTTTCATTAACTTACTAAATCCAAGAACAAGAATCTTCAAGAAGTCATGACACTGCTAGGCTGACATTTGTTATTTCTTGGGAACCCAGACTTCTGCTGTTGAAGTGAAGTATCAATAGTCCAAAAGCAAACAATGAAACTCAAAAATTCTGTAGAGCACTGCTGGCAAACCCTGATATCCTCATTAATACCAAAGACATTTCTTAGTTTAAAATTAAACCCTGTATAATAGCCAACATCACTTGAAGAGCTCTTATTGGCTTACTCCTAAGGCACTCAAGGAAAGCAAAACCCAGGTCCAGTCCCCTTTTCAGCCGACTGGAGGATAGAGAGTGGCACATCACAGGCAAGAACTGCTGGTCACAGAGTACAGCACAACTTTTTACTCCATTTTAAAGAATGACCTACTATGTCTACTTTAACACAAAAGGTCATGCAGGCATACTCAAAAATAATGATGTATTAGTACACTGTTTGTATCTTCTAAGAAAATTAAATTCAGACAATTGTTCTTCTGAAGTAGTCCCAATACTCCTGCAGGAGACATCTAGAAAGTCTAAGAGCTCTAGAAGTTCGATGCACATTTTATATAAAGTGAATCTCTGCATGGCATATTTAACTTCTGTCACACCAAACACCTTGCAACTACACACTTCATGATGGTAAAGACTTGCTAAATAACATCAGAGTCATCTCAAGTCAAGCAACATATATCCCTACAGATTCCAATCTTAGTCTGCTGAGACACACTAAGACGAGAAAGAGAGAATATTTTATTATTGTTTTCCAGCTGACAAAAGAAGAAAGCAGAAGGGAAATCTAGAGAATTTTGGGACTACTCTAGGGAAGGAAATAGAAGCAGAGGGCAGCATTAGAAACAGAACATGAGAAAGAACAGAATTAAAGTAGACATTCATTCAGAGCATACTCTTGACTTTCCCAGACAGCTGTGACAAATCTAAAAGAGAATGCTGAAACCATTATCAGGTAACATCTATAAGACATTCGATAGATAAAAATCATTACTGACACCAGTCAAATCTAGTTTGCACTATAATACAAAGTTTGAAAGTACTTGGGATAAGTGTACCAATACAGAAATTAAGTTCATAAACCAGAAGCAGTTTCTCTCCCCTACAGATCATTTTAAGTGTCGAGTGGCTAACTGCCCACAATACTCCTGTGCCACCAGATCCACTAACTTTTTCACAGAAAAACACACCTGTGAAGGGATTTGACACTTCTGCTGCACATAACGAGCTTGCTCTGGCACCTCAGTGGGATTCCGCGCAACACGAATTGAGAGCAGACTGCATTATACTTACAAACATAACCCTTGCCTCTCACACAGCAGTTGCTATGAATTAAGCCGAGAAAATCAAAGGGGTAGAATGCAAGTCATTCACCTAAATGTATATACATATCAAGAGCAAAAGAGCAGTTCTAGAAATACTCCAAGTTATTAAATAAAAAGCATTTTCATTAAACGTAACAATTCTTGCAGTAAGTGGTTTTCAGACAACCTTCCTCCAGAGATAAAACTCCTTCACAACAGAAAATGGAGGCAGCTTGTACAACTTAAATGAAACTACCAGATACAACTGAAAATAATTAGATGACTGAAGTGTTGACCAAGGAAAAACTAGTCTTTTTACAGTGAAAGGTTGGTTCAAGTATGCCCCCCCAATTATAGACAGGGTTTTTAAAATAAAAGCATAATGCAGTGCTACAAACTAAGAGCTGAGTTAGGCACCACCAGAATACACACAAACAGAAAACTAAATAGCAGTGAAAACTGAAATGTAAATAAATTGTGACTTCACAAAGCATGTGATTCAGTTAAAAGCAAGCACTACATAAAACCAAAATAAGTCTTAATTTTTAAAGAATCAAAAGCATGCAACTGATTTTTTAGTCCTTTGTTCACAGGATAGCCTAAACATCTGTTTCATTGTTTCATAAGTGGTTGTAACAATTTCAAACACAGAAACACTTACCTTGGAATAGTCACACATTTTGTGTTGCAATTCTGAGTGGTAATTGCCTTCTCGAGCTCATCCAGCTGTCCTGTTTTCTTTAGCTTCTTGACCAAGCTTTTCACTGCTTTTTCACACCACTTTTCCTCCTGACCATTCTGCTCACCACCACCAGCTCCTCCAGAGCTACCAGCAGATTTTTTCCACCCCAGAAGTCTCTTCACAACTGGTGGAGTGAATGGCAATATGGACGACATGACTTTCACCAGACAGAACACTCAGCAAGCAATAAATTAGAGATTCCTGTTTGATCCCTAAAAACACAAACCAAAACAGACACATTAGCACTGAGGTTTCACATGAAACAAATACCTCCCTTAGGACCTTACATTACAAAATGCCATAGGACACTGCATCCCAAAACAAGGCAGATAAACAGTTCAGAGTTAGTATGCATCATGGTTAAGTGCTTCATTAATAAAGTTCAAGTCTGCTGCAGACTCTTCAACAGTTAGCACAGACTAAGGTTACTGTTGGATTAGACATTTGATCTTTCCTCATGTCTTTCCTGGCTAAAGCCAACTCCAGCAAACACAGAAGGTAACTAGAGACTTGCTTTGCACCTAGGCTACCTGGTTTTAGTACTGATTAGTATTTTCTGGAAGAACTGACAAATTGCAGACAAATACATGCATGTTCTGCCTGTTTCCAAATTAATTTAGCAAGCAAAATTGTGTTTGGAATGTCATTATGTCACTATGGCTTGACAGCAGTCTCCCAACAGCCAGCTATTTCACAAGCCTTTTCTCATTTTGTTTGTCATGTTTTAAATAACTACCAATTTTTGTTCCACAGGGGACACCCGTTTCCAATTCACCCATAAGTCTGGCAATAAGCTTATTCCCATGTAGAGATCAATGGCCTACAGATAATGAATATGCTCAACTAGCAGCACTTAAAGTTATCAAGTCTTTGAAAATTCATTAAAGGACAGTTAAAATCTTAATTTGCAGGCACCTGGGTTTTGCAACTGTCTGTTTCCAATTTTGATAGCCTTTCTTTCTGTGTCAACTACCCGAGATGAGGATGTTTATATAAAATGAAGGATTAGAAGGGAGGCTGAAACTTGAGCTATGTTTAGCATTCACTGCAATTTGTACTTCAAACCCTTTACAAGAGAAATGGTAGCCACTTAGGAAAGAACATCCTGCTTTTGCAGCTTCCATTAGGCCAGTTTTAGGTATTAAAATATAATACCTAAAACCAACAGGCAGACAGCTGTTAGAAATTGCTTGAGGACATAATGGTCCTATGGATGAAAGTATGGCATTCAAGCAAAAAAGATCTTATTTTCAGGCAACAAATGGGTATTCAAACTCCAGAAAGTTAGCTTATTTCCAAGCTGTATAACTTAGTTCAGTTAGATGAAAACACTTTTCTAGCTAAAAGCTAACACCACCTTCAGGCTACTTGATTTGAGCTTTGAAGGCTGCTCACGTTGCCTCTCCATCCCGTACAGGCGCACTCCTCACTTCTATCCAAAATATACCCACTTCATCTTAACCGAAATTTCCCCATGTCAGAAAAGCATGATTCAGGATACTTCAGGCTACAGTGTTCATGGCTAATTTATGCCTTGTCACATCTTTGCAGTTTCAGTGGGGACCAAGTCAACAAGCACTAGATTATATTCTACAGGTAACTTGAAATCCTAAATTTTCAACTTCCACAAACCAGAACAGTCAGCAGCTGTTGGAGAATGGCTAAGAGAGCAGGGATATAATCCTGGGGAAGGCCAAAAAGAGCTAGGCCGCAGTCCCCTGGGAACGTACAGACACAGTCCTGGGAACGCACCTGGGAATGCAGTGTACAAGCAAGGCTCTGGAGATAGTAACTTATATATAGATAGGGAGTAATTCAGCTGGGCAGATGGCAGGGGTAACTCGTCCTTGAGGGTGAGACAAACAGGTTCGAGAAAAACAGCTAGGAATGCACCCAAGCCTGGGAAAGCAGGAGATAAGCCTAACAGCTGCAGCTGTAAGTAAGGGGAGTACCTGAATGCTATCTTTCGAGCCTAGCCAATTAAAAATGATGGATAATTGTACGCCTGCTTCTGCACTGTATAAGAAAGAGTCTGTCGGACAATAAAGATGGAGCTTGCTGTATCCCCCCCACGGAATAGGGCGCTTGCTGCACTGTATAAAAAAGAGCCTGTCGGACAATAAAGATGGAGCTTGCTGTATCACCCACACGGAGTCGGCCGCTTGCTTCCCCGCGCAGAACCTTCACCTTTCCCAACAAGCAGGCATGACATTTCAGTTTCAAATAAATTACACGTCCATAAACCAGCTTCTCAGAGCACTTAAAAATGTGACTGAAGCAAGAAATGTAGTTTTCTGAGGACAAGGAGACAGTGGTTGCAATTAAGACAAACTCAGGATCAACACTGTTAACTTCATGCAAGTCATTCAAAATACTCTATCCTAAACCAAAGAATGAGAGTGGTTTGGGTTGGAATGGACCTTCAAGACCATCTCGTTCCACCCCCCTGCCACGGGCAGGGGCACCTTCCACTAGATCAGGTTGCTCCAAGTCCCACTCAACATGGCTTTGAACACTTACAGGGATGGGGCAGTACCTTCTGGTGCAGTACCTCACAACTTCTCATAGGAAAGACTTTCTTCCCTGTATTCAATCTAATCAACCCTCTCTCAGTTTTAAATCATTGCCCTTGATAAAAAGTCAAAAGATGGCCTTGATAAAAAGTCAAAGCATTTATTTTCACGCAAGACTATAAAGGAGCTTTTATACTTCCAATACTTGTTAAGTTAAGTCCCCAGTATTTCAAACTGCAGGTTTTGCTGACTGTAAAAGCATTGCACTAGAGCCCTGGCTACAGCAAACAAGAAAAATAAACTCAATCACCAACGTTTTCAAATTAAACACTGACTAAGACACCCAGTTACAGTTTCATAGGGAGCCAGGCTAAGCAACAGCTTCGTGCCACAGGGCGCTCAGCTCTCCTTCCCGTCTTTCCTGTGGTACCATCACCACCAGTGCTAATACCATTCCACAAACACTTGGCTAGGTAAGGTACAAACTGACTGATTTTTGTGGGGTTTGCTGTGTTAGTTCTCTTTCTGGTTAACAAGTTGCAGGGCTCACACATGGTACTGAGGTACGCCACCCGATGTCAGGTAAGTTACAGGAGTGTGGAACAAGGACTCCTGTCCCAGCCTTCACCTGTGGTGCTAGCATTGACTGCATCACTGGAAATACACTTTAATTTAGATCATTTATTTCGGTGACAAAGTTGAATTAAGCAACCTGATATGTTCTGAACTCTTTGAGGGTCTGGCAGTGAAACACATTAGACCAAGTAGCCCCAAAGATGAAGCAGCAGATGTACACGGCCTCCACTGCTTTAAGAAACACAGCTGTTTTCTGAAACAGGGAACAGCAGTCACTCTGAGCTTTATAAAACAACTTCACCCTTTGAGTAAGGCCAACATTGGATGCTTCAGAGGCACAGGCATCAAATTCATAAAGACAAAACTGAAGAAGACAGCCTCTTTGGCTTTAAAGATTCCCGTTCTAAACAGTAGCAATTGATAGCGTAATATCTGGACACTAAATTCAGTGCTGACAGATGCAGGCAACCAAGTACCATCATCACTGCTGATCCACACACCAATTCTGAGTATTTCCTGTACTTTAGCTTCAAATTTGGTACCTTTTAATGCCCCAGAATGTTCCTTTGATTGTCAGCCTTGTAAAACACGTACTTCAGGAGGTTGTCCTTTAACACCAAGGTAAACTTTTAACATCAAGGGCCTCTTATTCCAGGCCCTCCAAATATTAATGCTTTTACCTAATTTTTCAGCTCCACAACACTCCTTGTGATGAGGCGTCCAATTTTGCAGTACTCTGTCCCTTAAGACTGATAGATATACTTATACACACACACCATTTTCTGTATTCTCTGGTGCTCTTCTTTTTTTGAACCAAGATTTGCCTTTCTGCTTCAAATGCACATTAAGTGATTTGAGTTTTGCAGCAGGAAAGAATTTAGAAACTCCATACATTCTAGCTTTTATTTATATTTGAACTCTCATACTATTTTGATGCACTCAGAGGGGGAAAAAAAAATCTCTTTTCCCACTTCCAAAAGACTGTAAGCTCAGACTTAACCGAGCTTAATTAATTGGAATTTTTCAGATACCATACAACTTTATCTAGTTGTCCTACAGATGTGTGCTCACCCAGCTTCTGTAGGTGTCAGAAAGCACAAGCTGAACTGCTAGCCCCCGCCGAGAAAATTCACTTTAGAAAAAACCCAAACCAGAAAGGGACACATTTAAAGAGCCCTTTATTACAATGATTTCTGCAGCTTAGCAGCTATTTAACAAAAACACAACATACATCACAGCTGCAGACTAAGAGTCTGGGAGGCTTAAACTAACTTCTTCCTTCTAGCTATTGTTTTGCCACCTCAGGGATTTGCCAAGAGTAGCAATAAGAATTTCACCAAGTTATTCCAGTAGTGGCCCTGTATCTTTCAAAGGGTGAGCAGAGAGAATGTGACACAAGTAGGACAGGACTTCAATCAGCTTAATATTCCAACCGATTGTGATGAGTACTCAAAGGAGGGTATTTCAGCCAGCTTAATTTATGAAAAAGCTGGCACTCTGCTCCAGACCTAGAGGAGACAATGCAAAGTGCAAGGCATGGTTAGGTTGAATCACGAGCAATTTCGACAGATGCAAATTCTGCAAGGAAAAAACAGCAATAAAGAAAATCATAAGAAATACCCTGCTGGACCAGAGGACTGATGCATCCAGTCTGGTGCTCTGTCACCAAAGGTGGCAAAAGGACACACTACTCAAGGGAAGCACATAAACTTGGTAGTTTTCTGCAGCCCACTCTCCTCAATACTTCAACACCTTAAACTGTTACAACACAAAACTAAAGGGTACATTCCTAACTTATCCCATTCAGCAGCCATTTATGGACCTTCCATTCACAAATTCATCTATCCACTTTTAGAAACTGCCTTCACAACCTCTTGTGGCAGACAGCACTGTCCACTGTTAAAAATAACTACTTTTAGTAATTTAGTTTCCTTTCCTAGTTCCAGAAGGTGACTCTTGTTCTACCACTAAAAGCTTTGCTGAAGAAATGATTGTATTCATCTCATCTGCAAGCTTCATGATCCTGTACATTTGAATCATGTCCCTCCCTCAAAGACAGGACTATC